GAAAAGGAACAGATTTTTTGGGCACTCGAGAGCCCCAAGGTCGACCTAGTGCACGATCCTCCTTAAAGAGTGGAAATGAAAGAGGAAGAGAAATGAGAGAAGAAGAAAAAAGGGAGAAGAGAACAATTATACAATCCTATAGCCTCCCGACGTCACCTCCCCTAGGAGGTTATTTCGGTTATCTTAAGAAAGGTACTAGGCCTAAGCCTAATACCCTGTTGGGACGGTGAAAAGGAATAGACTTATTGGGCACTCGAGAACCCCAAGGTCGATCTAGTGCATGGGCCTCCTTAAAGAGTAGTAACAAAAACAAAAGAAGATGAGAAGAAGGGAGAAGAGAAAAGAAGTGAAGGGAGAAGAAGAAAGAGTAAGGAGAAGAGCGAAGGGAAGAGAAGTGAAGGGAGAAGAAGAAAGAGTAAGAAGAAGAGAGTGAGAGACAAGGGGAGAGAAGAAGAGAGAGAGGGAGTTAGGCGGCCTAGCTGCCTGTCTCAAAGAGAGGTGGGGCGGATCAGCCGTATCCCTCTTAGGGGGGGGAGAGAGAGAGAGAGAGAGAAAGGGGAAAGGAGAGAGGAGAAGAAGAAGAGAAAGAAGAGAACAAGAAGAAGAAAGAAGGAAGAAGAAAGAGAGAAGAAAAGAGAGAATGTAACCAGGTACTTAGGAAGTGGACCAATGACTTAAACCCGATGGCTAGATGTACTCCCAAATTGTCTTTTGAATGCTCATTGAGAGAGGCTAGGGTCTTGGGGTAGAGGGTTAAGGTTTAGGTTTAGGTTTAGGTGTAGATGAACCTAAGTGGGCTATGGTGTATGGGGCATAAACTAAGGGGTGTAGGGTTTGAGATGAGTGGAGACTATGGTCTATGATGGAGGTTGGTGTTCTAAGGAGTATGATAGGGTTAAGTGTATAGGTTATGGTGTATGGATCGTGGTGTATGGGTTAGGGTGTATAGGTAAGGTGTAGGGTGTAGGGTGTAGGGTGTATGGAGTAGGGAGTATAGAAGTGTGGAGTTTAGGAGTACGGAGTATGGAAGTGGAAAGTTTGAAAGTGTGGGGTATGGGAGTGGGAAGTCCAAAGACAACTCTCAAAAATGAAAAATATTCTCTCCTCTCTATTTGGTTCAAGTTCAAGCTCAAAATGGCTCAATATTCTCTTAATTAAACTTAAATCAAGAACCCTACAAATGGGAAGCCCTTGGGCTTATATAGAGCCATCCACAAAACATTGGTGGATGCTCAAAAGTTAACATAATTGATAAAAAATACAATTAAAAGTGAATTTCGTTTTTATACAAAAACGACTATTTTGGCCCTTCATACTTTTATATAAATGACAAGACCATCCCTCAAAAAGGGCCTCTTGCCTCCCTATGGTTCGGGTCCATTTTCGATGCTTTCCAACGGCATTTTGAAACGGTTTAATGTCATAGAAATATTGGTTGTTTCGAGGTGATCAATTTGATATACACTTTGAAGCTTGAATCAAACTTTTGATTATGGTTAAAAAATCCGGCGAAAACCCATAAACTTGAAAACTTCAATCTTCCACGTTTTGTCTCATTTTTTGTTATCTTTCTTATCACAAATCGAAAGGGAAGTTGTTGTGATCATTTTGCAATGAAAAACCCTTGATTTGAGTGCCGCTTGATCACTTTCCCATTTTGAAGGTCGTCAGAAAGTGGGATTCCGAAGACCAAAAAACTATGCCTTCGTCCCGAGCTTTCTTTCGAGCTTCAATAGGACACCTTCCTGGACTCCATTTCGAGAAAATATTATGTCAAAACGAAGCCCTCTAAGTCACGATCACAATGGACCTGGCCTTGAGTCGTAGGAATCTGAAATCTTGAGATATGATTGTCAGAGTAACATCATACGCTGCTGGAATATTTTGCATTTTTCATATTTCTTGCCAACTTTTCTCTACGATTTTTCCTTATCTGGGGGTCCCCATTGTGAGTGCCTCCCATACTCACCAGGCGTGCTGCCCATCAAAACGTAGATCTTGGTGAGAGGAACAACATACTAAAATTTGGGGTCTATCCACTTTAAGATGAGAGAGAACCAAGCTTCACAAGTCGCCTCATTTTTGGAAAACATAGGTACAATAAATAGTAACCAGTTCAAAGGGGTTCAAGTGAATAGTAAAAATATTGACATTTTTAGTATGTAGGACCTAGAAAAGTCCGTTTGAGCTGAAATTTGGCAGGGTGACTATTTTCAGCCTTTTGAATCCATCTGTAGTGGTACCACGGTCTTTAGAGATCTTTAGAGTAGTATTCTAGCTATGGTGCATCATGGTCATGCAAGTAGCATGGGCCAAAAGCTGATTTTGTACCTGTTTCTTCTATTTGCAGCCAAATTAGATGAAACTTGGCGGACATCCTTAAAACATCATAGGAAGCTCATGTGTTTGATTGGGGCTGAAAGGACGTCACTATCAAGGATCTTCAAAATCAGGTTTATTATTGAGTGGGGCTTCCATAATCCATAAGGGTGACTGGCACCCGCAGGTCTCGGTTGCAACCGCCTCCACCATTATTTGTATTGGGGAATTAGTGCATAAAAAATATGCACTAACAAGATTCCCACACACATTACCTATTATGATGGTTAAAATGGCATGTGGCACTTTATGGTTGGAAAATGGTTTGTGTGAAAATAAAGTACCTTAAAAAATACATGAGTTTTTACTATTTTTGAAACCGGCCACATATGAAGTGAATTGAGACCAAGAATCATTAGGTACTCTTTCATATTCGGATATCAGCCCTCATGTTGCAATGTAAAGAGGAGTTCTTCAAGGTCTTCAAAGGAACTAACGTATTGGAAAATGCGAGCTATTGCCCTTAGTGCTTGGGGTCCCTTTGGGCCTCCAATTTTGTTCTTCCACTATTAACCCTTTGAAATTCAGATGGTCAAGGTCCTCAAGCTTTACTTTAGAGAGATCATTAACCATAGTCTATCAGGCACTCAGGCTAGTGCCCCTAATTGCTTTAAGCCCCACATCGATTCTGAGTGACAAACTTCAAGCGACTTTTGATTTGCTTTTCTTTTTAAAGGTTTTGGATCCTTTTGTTCCTCTCTCTTCTCTTTCATCACACAGGGTCTCCTTCATATGATCAATATGTTTTTCTCTTTCTTTTTTCTTTGTCTTTTTCTTTTTATGTTTTTCCCCATTCCAACCACGATGTGATTTGATTTTGAATAGGTTAGAGACTTGAAACTTTGGCTTGTGCCCCTTGACTACTTTGGTTTAAAATTTGGACCCGAAAAGCATCTGCGTGACAAAAGAGATGACTCTTTGTTTTTGAAGAGCTCAAACATCCAACAATGCTATATACTATAGAAAAGTAGAGCTAAAAGAGAAATTTATTAAAATGTACATATGAAATGTACTGTTTAATATTTTATTTATATCATTTAATTTAATTACAAAATGCACATTAAAATACACATGATCTTGAGTTGGAAGGGTTGAAAAAAGTAAAATATTAAATACTTGATAAGGGAGGTGTATTTTAATTTCCTATGGTCAACGTTGATAAATTTCTTAGGGCATGTTTGGAAGGATATGTTAAAAGTCATCAATAATTTACTGTTTAAATAAAAATACTTACTATAAAAACTTATTAACCCATTTAGTGTATTCATTATCAATGATAATTCAGTATTTCAATAAAACTATTCTTGATAATGAATTATCTATGATTTGACAGTGTCCATTATAAAGCTATTTGGGATACATTTATTGGCAGATTTACAGATAATTTATCTTTTTGGAAGTAAATTTTATTTAATTCACAAATATTTATCGTAGATCACACATTTTTTGTTGGAAATAGCTGGAACTTACTAAAAAAGTATAAAAAATAAATATTATTACATAAAGTACACATCAAATAACTAATTAAGATAAGGGAAAGCTTTCTATGTTTCCCTACAACATAAAACTTATATACTTCCTTTTATCCAACCGTCCATTCTGAATGGAGGGCTAAGATTGCCTCAATCACAATGTCACGTCTCTACACTATTTTATTTTTAATTTTTTTATATAAACTATTTTGACACCAAATTTTGTACGTCCAATCCTCTATTAAACTCGAACTAGCAAAAAATATAAAAAACTTATTTCAAATAAAATAAAATGATCAAAATACCCTTGAAAATTTCAAGAGGTATTTTGATCTTTATATTTTATCGAAAAATTATTTTTAATATTTTTTATATGTGCCTCCCAATGAGAAGATGACACGTACCAAATTTCATATCCATACAATTTTTATAAAAAAAACTAAAAATAATATACTTTGAGACGTCAGATTTAAAGATCAAACGGTGAGTGGCTCTCTTGATCAAAATTGGATGGCTGGATTGTAGGGGAAGCATAGATCTTCTATGTTGTAGAGGAAGTATAAAAACCTTTCCCTTGGGATAATTAGTGCCAAATATGATAGATAGTGCTGGATTAAATTAATTAATATCAAAGCTTATCTTTCTTAATTGGTAGAGTCCGTTGTGAACTCGCTCATGACACATGTATGTGAATTTCTATGGAAGAATATCCCTCTCCCTAAGGTAGTTTCATTATAAAAAATTCCAAGGGTGTCAACCTTATAATGTAGAACTAAGGCATACCTCAAAAATCTATTAAATAAAGTTGTTTTGATACTGAAAAATTATTTAATTGATCATCTCGACCTCGATATCTATATGTATAATTATTTAAGGCTAACAAAATAGTATAATGCGTTATCCAAATATTTTATTTTCAAAATTTCGAAGTGTTTATATATCTCCTTGATCAATACTTTCTTTATAATTTTTGGGTAAATAATTTAAATTTTAAATTTTACAAATGAAAGTAAAAGATAATTTTTTTTTATCATTTTGTTGTATAAGTTTAGAATTGAATCATCTAAGGTGAGCATACTTTGATTGGTTACTTTCATCGATTGAGGCCCACATGAATCTCACCCATTTTCCTTTATTATTCTGTTCGATGTCTCATTTCGTCAGCGTTTTACCTTTACCGCCCGAAGCCCGCTCTGTCGATCTCTCTGTGAAAAAGCGGCCTTGTTCGGCAAAACTCTTCGCCTCCACTCTTCTTGAAAACCATGTACGTCCCTTCTCTCTTCCTCTCTCTTTCCTCATAGACTTCTCTTCTCTCTCTTCCATTTCTTTCCTCAACTTACTTTCACCATGTAGGGCTGCGGTTTTTAGTGCTTGTTTTCATCTTTTTTTTCCTTCAAGACTTGGGCCTTTTTCCCTCGTGTTCAGTCGTAGGGCTTTCTTCTCTTTTTACTTTCCCAGTCTAGGGTTTCTTTTGCGTGTACACTAGGTCTAATGGTATGAAATTGTTTTCTATGGGTTACAAGAAGCTGTCTCTGTGGCTTGACCTCTCATTTTAGTCTAAGGATTTTCGCCTGGTTTTTAAGCTCTTTAAGCTATGGTTGCATTGCATCACTTTTATTGGTTCCATGATTGTTTCTATGTTAAGTATAAATGCTGTTCTAAATGGCCTTTTTGTAAGTGTCACATACGCTATTCACTTTTATCTAAAATTTTTTACGCATTCTTAATATGTGGCAGTTGATTTTAAAGCATAGGGTTAGGAAATTCTAATGCTAATTTTGTTGCAATGTTTTAAGTGCATTGGTTTATTCTTTTGCCTGATCAAATTTGGTTAGCAATAAATAGAAAATAAAGAAGCACATAGGCGTATGCATTCGCTTTCTTTGTTTATCTTGGTTCTTTGCTTGTTATATTTAATTGTAGAACACGCAATAAAACATATATATTATTAGAACAGTTGTATGGTATATTGGCATGTTGCAAAGATGTGTCTTGTATATTGGGATGTTGCAAAGATGTGTCTTGTCTATGCTGCAGGTAAGAGTTAACGGGGTACGTCGGTATATTTCCAAGATTGCCTGAGGTTTCTCTCCACGTCTCCATATGATGCCAAAGCAAACGGCTCCTCCTGCCAAAGATGATACTCAATCAATGGTAGGCCATATGAAGCACAATTTCAGCATGGTGCTTACTTTTGGTATACGAACTTGAATATTGATGGTTGTTTTATCTATATCGTTTTCTTTTTTTTTTCCATTTTATCATAGAAGAATGAAAAAAGGGCTTCAGCTGGTGTATAGGGTCTAAGGGAATCCAGGAATCTTGAAACATATATTTAATTGTGGGTAGAAGGCCGTGCCAATGGGTAACCTCACCAGCGGTTTGGAACCCAACTGAGCACCATCTCCTGTCGTCCCATATAGGAGAATTCTCGGTCACCACCGTCATTCTTTCTCAGGCTTCAGATGGTTTTCCTCTCAAATTCTCAGCCATCTACGGGCCCAACTCTGCTTCCCTTCGTCCTCGCCTTTGGTCTGATTTAGACTATGTAGCTTCTTTACCCCATATTGCGTGGTGTTTGGGTGGTGCTTTCAATATCACCAGATGGTCTTTTGAGAGGAACCACAACCCCAACATCTCCCAGGGCATGTTGGACTTTTTCGACTTCATTTCTTGTCAAGAAGTACTAGACATTCCTCTTTAAGGGAATGGCTATATCTGGTCCAACCACTCTGCTCAACCCTCCCTCGCTAAGCTGGACCGCTACCTCTTCTCTCTGGATTGGGATGCTTTCTTCCTTGGTTCCCATGCGTTCACTTTGCCTAAACCCACCTCGGATCACTGCCTTTTCTTCTTAATACCCAGGTGGTAAGAAGGGTGCCGATACCTTTCCGCTTCGAACTAGCTTGGTTTGAAGAGCAATCTCTCCTTGGCCTTATCCCTAGATGGTGGACTTCTTTCTCATCCTAGGTATCGGGTAGAGCTGGCTTCAAGTTACAAACCAAGCTGCAACTTCTCAAAAAGTCCCTCATAAACTAGAGCAAATCCCTACCAGGAAACTATTCTCAAACAAAAAGTTATTTGCTCAAATCCATTCAAGATCTCGATGGTGTAGAAGAGTCTAGACCCCTCACAAATTCAGAAACTAACCTTAGAACCCAAACTAAGTTGGACTACCTCTCTACCCTCAAGAAAGAAGAACTTTTTTAGTACCAGAGATCCAGAGTCAAGTGGTTAAAAACTGGGGACCAGAATACTACTTTCTTTCACCGAATAGAGAACTATCGAAGAAGAGATAACTCGATATCCACGATCAAGGTGGATAATCTCTATTTAGTCCAGTCCGATGAAATCAAAGCCGCCATCCTTGGATACTTCAAGTCTCTCTACACAGCCCCTATGGGCCACAGACCAAGGATAATCACCCTGGACTTCTTAACCCTTCCTGATCATTGGTCACTTTGGCTGGAACGACCTTTCTCTGTAGAGGAAATCTCCTGTGTCGTCGACCAACTAGCCAAAGACAAAGCTCCGGGCTGGATGGTTTCCCCATGGCCCCCTTCAAATCCTTTATGGGAACCTTTCTACCTGATCTTGTTAGCTTTTTCGAAGAATTCTACCAAAGGGGGATCTTCAACAAAGCCATAAATGCCACCTTTATCACTCTTGTTCCCAAGAAAGAAGGGGCGGTGGAGCTAAAGGACTTTCGTTCTATTAGCTTGCTCAACTCTTCATACAAAATTCTGGCCAAGGCTCTAGCTTCGAGACTCAAGCATGTCCTCCCAATGACCATCTCCCCGCCCCAATCTGCCTTCATCAAAGATAAGGCAGATCCTGGATGGGGCAGTGGTAGCACATGAATGTCTCCACTCTAGCACTTATCCAAGAAGCCAGGCTTTCGATTGGGAAAAAGCATATGATCATGTTAATTGGTCATTACTGGATGAGACGTTGGCCAGAATGGGCTTTGGTAACCATTGGAGAAAGTGGATGAAAGGCTGTATTTCCTACCCTCATTTTTTTATCCTTATAAATGGGAGTAAATTTTTCCTTCCTCGAGGGGGCTTTGCCAAGGGGACCCTCTGTCCCCTTTTCTCTTTGCAATAGTTGTAGAGGTTTTCAGCAGATCCATCTCTCGCCTTTACCAGGAAGGCCTCCTTACAACATTCCAATGCAGCCCACAAGGCTCTTCGGTGTCACACCTGCAATACACAGGTGACACCTTAGTCTTCCCTGACGCTTCTCCACAAGAAGTCGAGAACCTGAGGCTCTTCCTCAAATGCTTCGAGACTGCCACTGGCTTCAAAGTCAACATGGATAAATAAAAAATGATGTGGGTGTATCTGACTATTCAAGAGATCAGGGTCAGTATTCCTTTTTGGGACTGTAAAGTTGAGGATCTCCCCACCACTTACTTGGGCATACCTTTGGGCTTGAGGAAGCCGAAAAAGAGACATTGGGCTAGTGGATAGGCGTCTGGCAGGCTGGAAAGGGAGAGATCTATCCCTGGCTTGCCGTTCAACGTTGGTCAAAGCAACACTGGCCAGCGCCTTGATCTACTTAATGTCCATCTTCCACATGCCAGCCTCGGTGGTTAACAGGCTGGATCAGCTTATGAGGAATTTTTTATGGTCAGGTCAAGCGGGAAAAAACAGACATCACCTTATCTCATGGGATAGAGTCCGGCTACCCATCTCAAGGTGGTCTAGGAATCAGAGACCTTAGAAAACACAACCTGGCTCTGCTAGGGAAATGGTGGTGGAAATTGGCCACCCAACCTAATTCTCTCTGGGCACAGGTCATTCGTAACAAATACGGGATTCTGGAACACAAGTGGGTGCCTGACAGGACCTCCCGCAGCCGAGCCTCAGAAGCCTGGAAATCCTTTGCCTCCTCTCTTGCTCTTTTCAACCAATCTATCCGCTTCCATCCTAAAGAAGGCACTAGAGTGCGCTTTTGGTCTGATCTCTGGATCGGACGCTCCCCTCTTAGGGATCTCTTCCCCTCTCTCTTTCACTTCTTCTCCAACAAAGACTCAACCATAGCAGCTGAAATGGTCCTTTCAGTGGGCCGAAGAACCTGAAATCCCTCCTTCAGAAGAAACCTTACCAAAGAGGAAACGTTACTCTTCACCTCCCTATCGGCTGCCTTACACCCAATTTTCTTATCTCCATATGGGAGAGATTCTCTGGTATGGACTTTTTCTCCGTCTGGAAAATTCTTAGTAGCCTCTTTTTACAATAAACTTATTCAACCCTATACGTACCCACTTAACCCTGTCTCTGTCCTATTCAAAGTTTGGTCCACTATGCTCCTCCAAATGTCCAAACTTTCAATTGGATTGCCTGCTGTCAACGGGCTCTCACAGTCGACCAGCTTCAAAAAAGAGGCATTTCGCTCCCCAACAGATGTGCTATGTGCTTGAATGAGGAGGAGTCGAATCCTCACCGTGGAGCCTTTGAACTGCGGAGCCTTATTCTTCAGTTGTTCATTTCCGATGGGTCCTCCCACCCTCGGTTAAGGCTCTCATCTCCTCCTACTCAGGTTGCCATTGGCCTAAGGCCGGTATAACTTTGTGGAAGTTAGCAATCGCTGCCACCATCTGGGTTATATGGTTAGAAAGAAATGAGAGGGTTTTTCAAGGACACAAGAATGAAGTTCCTGTGCTATTTCAAAAGGTTATCTCCCTAGTAACTTTTTGGGCTTCTACCCACAAGGACTTTGTAGGGATCCCCACTAATACCTTCCTAAGTCTGTGGGAGAATATTATTCACCTCCAACCCCACAAGAACCAAAGACCTCACAATTGGCAGCCCCCTCCAGAAATGCCATTAAACTCAACTTTGATGTTTGTTCGTTGGGGAACCTAGGCCCATCAGGAGTTGGAGGGGTTTTCTATGATCACAACCGAATATGTGGGACTGGGAGACTCCCAGTTCGCTGAAGCTTTGGCACTGCTTATGGCATCCCTTCATGGGGCCACTTTTTGGTGGTCGAAGGAGATGCCCAAAATATCATCTCTTGGGCAGAAGGCACTACTTCTCTGCCTTTCCAGGATTTTTTACAAAATTTACCATATATGCAAGGGATATGAACATCTTATGGACGCATACTTGGCGGACGTCGAACGAGCTCGCCGATCATCTAGCTAAAGATGGAGCACGGGCATGTGTGGAACCCGACCGGTCCATCTCCTTTTTTGCTCTGGACCATAGAGGGTACCTAGGACCATAGTTAGCCTTTATCTTCATCTTGTACTCGGGTGTTCTTATAAGCCCATTTTTTGCTACTCAAAATTTTTTTGTAACCAGGCATGTGACGTGGCCAATTTTTTGTATAGGGTCCCTGGACGTATTTTTTGACAAAGATACACGTCTCATGGGTACTCTCGGTCCTCTCTCTCCCCTAACAGTTGTACTCTTTCCTCATATAGCGATACAATGTTAACATTATCACAACAAAAAAAATTACGTACATACTTGGAGAGCGTAATTTTGTTGAGAATACTAATTTGTTATGCATTGAGAGTTGCAAGAATGCTTTCATAATTTATGAAAGTAATTGTTGCTTAGTTTATAACTCGTGAGTTATCCAGTAAAAGGCCATAACTGAAAAAATATGAAGAGAAGGTTTGAGTTGCAGATGCTTGCTTCTATGTTCTTGGGGTTTATAGCCAATTTCCTTACCTAATTCATTCAAGTTTAAATTGTGCAAAATGTAATAGTGATTAGTCCTTACTTTTGTGGATTCAAATTAGACGTATTTATTTTTTCTTCTATGCATCTAAAACCTAACGAGTGCAACCTTGTGATATCAACAGAATAGCTTTTTTAACTCTTTTAGAAAATGCAAGGTGGCCATCGTTCGCCCAACATCCAGTGCCTAGGTGGGCACCCAGAACCCTAGGCACCCTAATGTGAATAAATTTTAGAAATATGTATATATGTGCTATCCAAATGCACATATATGCAGATATTTGTGTTAACTTCATATTTGTTTTTGCATTTATATGTATTCTAACTAACTTTTTTTCATGCAAATATATGCATGAACATTGAAATATGTTGAAATCTTCAAATTTATTAAAAATTTAGTGAAAAAACATATACAAGTCTGTAGAGTCTCGAACTCTCAATTTCATACTTCATAATGGC